TAGAAAGTGCTTTTTTTCTCTCTCTCTTTTTTTTTTTTTTTTTAGTTTAACCGCAGTGTATTTTCTCTTGGTTTTTCAGATCAAGATTTTCCTCTCCCGGCTGGAGCTTCGTTGCTAGATTCGGTAAAGGGATGCTCTCCTTATTTGCAAAACTGGTAGCCCTAGGCTGGATGGGCTGCGATTCAGGCAACTAGAAATGCAAAGCTCTCCATAGCAGCAGAGGGACCGAGGAGTAGCTGGAATAGAGAGTTAGAAGCGTCTGAGGCAGCAACGGCCTGTGGGAAAGTTGTAAACTTCTATTACAGACAGTTTTAGGAGTAGCGTTGCTGGCTGGTCCTGCTGACCACCAGCCAGCTGAGGATCTGAATTTCAAGAGCTGAGCACCAGATGAGGGGCGTGTGACCAGCTTTTCGGTAATAGCTGCTGTACGTCGAGCGTTACACGTGGCCCTGGGTGTGCGTGTCCTCCGTGACTTGTTTCTAAATAGGAATCCTGGGGAACTGAGAGGTAAAAATTGCTTTGCCGGTGCCGCTTGCGGTATGGTACAGCAGCGCAGAGCTGAGTAAATGTCTTTTAGTACGTCCCACCCCGCGCTCACAGCAGGCTTGAGTAGCTCACGCGGTGCCTGGTGTTTTTCAACACTGTGCACTTGCTGTCTGCCCTCCGGCAGGTAGGAGAGACTGGAGCTACTGGGCGATCCCGACAAGCGAATGCCACAGGACGAGGGGAGGTAGATTTGTTCCTCTCCACCCCCTTGGCAAGGGGTGGAAAAAACACAGTATGTTGTTATGTTTTTCTTCTTCTGCACATTTCTCAAAGCATTGGCTAAGTATTTATTTTAAACTTCCCGATCTCTGTGAGGGGCACAATTCTAGTCACTAGCCCTCCAACAGATATAAAAACTAAGCACGCGCTCGAGTTACAAGCAAGCAACTTACTACCACGTAGTACAAGAAAGAATGAAATGAGCATCTCTGAATGAAATATCCAGTTGCTTCAGCAGCTTCCAGAAGGTGCTGAAATCCTTTGACATTTCCAAGACTCTTTCACACTTTTCAAACAAGCTTGTCACAGTTTCTCGGAGCATTATGAATCTGGTGAAACTGCGTATTCTGCAACTCTAGTTTCACTGAAGCTTTAGCCAGGTCTTGCTTCAGCTTGGCTGTCTCTGGTGTTCTGGTCAACTAGGAAATTGCATTATCTCATTCTAATTAAATCAGCTTTTCATCTTCAGCTGGAGTTTTCTTTGGGTTTTGGTCGTGCCTGTCTCCGTCGCGCTGCTGTGAGTGATGAAGGCATTAGCACACTCCACTCCAGAGTGGCTGCATTAAGCCTTGCGCAGAACGGTTGCTGTGCCCGAGAGCGTGGTGCTCGCTGATGGAATTGCTGGAGATGTGAGGCCAAGCTGTGATAAGTAAGAATTAGGGGTGTCTGGTGATGCTGTGAGTCGCGTTTCCTTCTGCTGCTCATTTGATGCACTTGTCCATGTCTCATCGTAGCACGGCCATGCTCCGTTCCTGCTATTGCTCCCCCCGGCATCATGGCCTGCACTGTGCCTCCATGTCCTTCCAGCGCGTTTCCCAGGTTTACCGAAAGGCAGGGTCTCCCCTTCACCATCTGAGCAGCGGCAAATAAAACCAGCCCACCAGAGGCTATGCTATGCTGTGCTAACGGGCCTGACTGGCGCTGCTGTGCGTGCCGTAAATACTGCAGAATATTATATTTTATTTTGGCCAAGCTTTCTTTTTTGCCCCTAGAAGAACCCCACCCAGGAACGCTGCAGGTTTGCTTGTAAGCGCTTTGGCTGCAAGCCCTGCTTCTTGGCCAGCCGCTGCCAGAGGCTGGGGTGCACCAAAGCTGCCAGTGAATTGGAGTGGAAGAGGACGTTGCTGTCCCTCCCGTCCCACCCGCATCTCCAGCGTGGTCTGCGTGGCCATGCCAGCAGCTGACGCCGTGCATGGCCGCGGCTATGCGGGCCATTGTGGCCGGCAGCCCCCAGCCCCGGGGACTGCAGCACCGCACGCAGGCAGGGGTGGGCAGGCAGGCAGGGAGCACAGCCAGGGCTGAGCAGACACAGTGCGTGGAGCGTGCCAGATTTGTCCGTCTGGATTTGTCCGTCTGGGTGTTCTTGGAGGCGCTCGATGACCCGCGTGGATCGGGTGTCAGGCCTGGAATAGCCCCGCCGGAGCAGGGAGCCTGTCTACAGGTTTAGCGGGGATATTTATAAACCCCTGGTTTTGTGGCTGTTTGCGAGCAGAGCGTGTCCTCTCTAAGCTCGCTGCGTCCCTTCGTCCGTGTGTGCAGCGGGACAGTGCTCAGCATGGTCCCAGTGCAGGGATAGAGGACGTTTCCCTCCCGAGCTCGGTTTCTCTGCTGGGACTGACGGTGACAGCCCGCCTGGCTGCAGGAGAGACCGAATTGCTTTCCTTTCTCGCTGCATTTTTGACAGGGGTTTGCTAGCCCTGCCTCCATCCCGCACTGCCCTTCCTCCTCTGTCCCCTTCCTGCTGGGAACTTGTGCTGGGG